TGCGTACTTGATGGTCCTACTGCTCGTCGTGGGACTTTAATATCAAATCCACCCTTAGGATCCTTCTCACCTCTCAGGCAAGGATCATTTGGAGGCTCTCGACCTCCCTCCCAGTCACAGATCGTCTTCCGAATTGCCTGAAGGACACTGGAGTGGGTGGGAGAAGGAAAGTAGTGCTTAAGTTTGATTCTACTTCAAGATGAAAATATTCACTGCTGTGCACATATGGGAGGAAAAGTATCTGAGGTGGGGACATACATTGTCATTACTGGGGGAGTCATGCCCAAAAGTTACCTCAGAAAATGCTACTGGCCAAGGTATGTTGGCTGGTTTTGCACGCTGAGGTATATGCAGGGCCACATGCTTATATAGTACAAATGTGTTACACAAATAAATACATGAGCTTTGCATGACATTCAAGAAGGACACACTGACCTGATCAGAACGTTCTTCTTCTTTCTGACTGCCTGCCTGAGCGGCTCTCGCAGGGTCACCTGGGCAAAGTCCTGCAGGGCTGCATAGATAGTGTTGCGGATGGCTTGGTTAAAGACACTCTCCATCCGACCCATCAGCACTTGCAGACCTTTGATCATGGCAATTACCTGAAGCAAAAATTAAAAACAGATGTATTTGCTATTTTTGCATTGTATGAAGAGGTCTGTAAAGCCAATGTTAAGAGAATTTGGGACTAAATTAATTCTACTCAAGTAACTTAGGTTCAGTAATTAGGTGGCTAATTTTTTTGACACTAGCTGCTTTACAAATCACAACAAGCTGAAGAGCATTTACACCACCAGTTTCTTGCAAATGGTCCCTGTCCCTTGGCAAGCTGTTTCCACTCCTGATCTCTTTAATAACACACAATCCCAGGAAACTGCATGTGCTGCACACATGGGTGCAGGTGTGTGGGTTGCACAGACCTGCATCTGCACCAGGGCACAGTCTTCCTTGTGCAAGAGTACGGTGACAATTCCATTGTACCCCTGTACTCGGCACTGGTGAGGCCACACCTCGAATACCATGTTCAGTTTTGGGCCCCTCACAACAAGGAGGACATTGAGATCTCAAGCATGTCCAGAGAAGGGCAACAAAGCTGGTGAGGGGTGTGGAGCACAAGTCTTATGAGGAGCGTCTGAGGGAACTGGGGTTGTTCAGTCTGGAGAAGAGGAGGCTGAGGGGAGACCTCATTGCTCTCTACAGCTACCTGAAAGGGGGTCATGGTGAGGTGGGTGTTGGTCTCTTCTCCCAAGTAACTAGTGATAGGATGAGAGGAAATGGCCTCAAGTTGCGCCAGGGGAGGTTTAGACTAGGTATTAGGAAAAATTTATTTATGGAGAGAGTGGTCAAGCATTGGAACAGGCTGCCCAGGGAGGTGGTGGCGTCACCATCATTGGAAGTGTTCAAAAAACATGTAGACATGGCACTTCAGGATATGGTTTAGTGGGTATGGTGGTGTTGGACTTGGTGATCTTAAAGGTCTTTTGCAACCTTAATGATTCTGTGATTCCCAGGAGGGAGTGAGCCACAACAATTAAGGCAATATTCAAACCACCTTGGACTTTCTAAGGCAAGATGAAAGTGTGAGGGCCTCCCACAGCCAGGATCAGAGGACTATTCCCACTGTCCACAGAAAGCCGGACAGGGAGTTCATGTGTCCTGGGGACTGGCTGAAGATCTCTTGTGTGTGCACAGCACCTGAACGTAGCTCCGGATCTTGCTCCAGATCACACTGCTCTGCAAGCCCACATCCTTTTTTTTTTTTTTTTTTCAGGAGCCCTGAACACCCTTTGCAGGTCAAGGGAGGCTTACCACAGCAATATTAAGAAAACAGAGGGATTCACCTCTGTCTTTCTCCAGCACACAAACAGCATAGGAGCAGGATCAGGAAAAGAGAGAACTGCTTTCACCATGCGCTGCTGCAGTGTTTCTATCCCAGGAGGAGCTCCTAAGAACTTAATTTGCCCCTTAGTTCTGGGCAAATTAAAGGCCACAAGGATGTGGGAACCCTTAACCCCTTAACGTGGGCCAGAGGGATGAGGAACCTGCTGAGTATGGTGAGGTGCCCTTCTCTCCTCTTCCCCTGCCCTGAGGAACATGGACAGGAAGCCAGTGCTGGCTGGTTCTTACTCTTGTGCAGTTGGCACCTACCTCCACAAAGGCAAACTTCTCTTCACTGGTGTAGTTGTATCGGGTGGCTCTCTCGTACTCTTCTGCTGTTCCTGGGCAATCCTTGTTACAGAACTTATCTGTGGGATGAACCAGCTTCCAAGAGTACTGCAAGATGGAAACAGACACTGTCAACATTGCAATGAGAAAGAAGCCAGGCTGGAAAGACTGAAGAGAGCCCTGTGCTACAAAAACACTCCCTAGACATTACTGCAGTTGTTTCACATTCCTTTGGGAGCAGAATTTGTGCTTCTTCCTGGCTTTGTTATCACTGTATTGGATATTGTTTTTGTTTATTTGGGAGGTTGCTGGCTGGGGCTAAACCATGACACCAGTCATACCGGGCTTTTGACATCCATGGACTTGTGTTGAGATGTGGTCAAAGTTTTCCAAATTAAGAATTTCTATCATAATTTGAATTACAGTTTTAGTTGCTCAAGACCCAGACTCACCCTGAACAGTTTTCAGTACTCAACAGTTTTCAGTACTCAACAGTTTTCAGTACTTCAGGTTAGGAGAACAGTCACCAAGTCCCCCTCTGACATCTGTGGGGACACCCCAGCACCTGCAAAGGGCGGTTCAGGGTGAGATGATCAAGCTCTCTTTCTCCATTTGGCACAGAGGGTGTTCAGGGTCATTAGCTGCCTGATCTTAGTGTGTTTGTTAATGGCTTAAAGTTAGGTGGCGTGAAAGCAAGCTCACCTTTCCACAGTCTTTGTTACATGCCACGTTAAAATGTCCACGTTCACCTGGGAAGAGGAGGACGTTACACACTCACCACTTCCATGACGTGGGCACTCCACTTGGACAGCAGCTGCAGTCCCCGTAAAGCGAGATCAAAGAGCTCCCTGTACTCTTCATCTGATTTCTGGCTGTCCAGTCCTGAGCCAGTGACCACCTGGAGAACATCACATCAGGGCTAGACTCAGCAACTTGCTCCAAAGGCTTCACGGAGCCAAACTGCAGCCACAGATCTCTGTCTCAAATCCCAGCTGAAATGAATTCCCCGTGACCTTACGATCAAGCTAAAATTGAGCAGTGCATATACTGTCCCTCAGGAAAATGGGTACAACTTGGCAAGGCTCTTTTTACCCAGGCAGTCAATTTATTTCCCACAGTAAAATAAGTCTGACCTGTCACCTCAGAGCAAATAACTGACGGTTTTCATTCCACCTTCCCATTCCTTTTTGATGGTCTAATACTACTGAAATCCTTGAGAGTCCTTTACTGATTTAAAGTTCAAATAAGCACTTACAAATGCCAAAAAGAAAAGGGCTGAGAATGCTAACGATTCATTAAACTAACGCTGACGAATACGAATCACCCATTTGCAAAAAACCAGTCACAATGGCATCAGAGAGGATGCTGCCATTCAGTAATGGAAAGAACAGAGATGCCCTCGTGAACTTTCCTCGAAGCCCTGACCAATAGCTCCGTGTAACAGAAAAGACCCATTGGCAAGACATGGATGTTCTGCCACCTGGCTGATAATAAACATTCAGTTGCAAATTTTTTTCTGCTTATTTTAACAATGTTGTGGCCAAAGAGCAGAAGCTGTTGCAGTAGATCTTCTGGTGCATGTGATTCTGCACCTGCAGGGGCCTTTCCCAACTTGCTTTTTTATTGCTGGATCAAGAAGTGGTTTGTTCACCTGTGTCTTTCTTCCCTCCTCACTGTATGTCCTTGGCAGACCATACTCCTGCCACACTTGTCCTCCCCCAGCCTCATCCATCTAATGAGCCTGATTACGACGACTACCCGCTGAGCTTACCTCGCTGTTGCTGTAGCGAGCGAGCTCTGAGATGAAACGGATGTGGTCATCTCGGATCTGGACCATCTGCTCACAGATGTTGTACTGGGGACTTATGCTGCTCTGAGTGCACGTCCACCTGGGCAAAAAAGCAAGGGTTTCAAGGACAGGACACGGGGCTCTGCCTAGACACCCCCAAAGATAAAAGTCTGGTGCTCGTGCTCAACTTCACTTCAACATGGTCAAGACATGCCACTTTCAGGGCAAATGTCAGCTTGTGTCATCTCTCATGTTCCCTGGTGTGTGTGATCTTCCCAAGGTGGTCTCACACAGCATGATGGGGTCACCTGCCTCACCTTTCAGCCTGAACATCTCTGCTCCATCCACCCTGAAAGCTGCTCTCCATGTTGGGCTTATCTGCCCCCATGGGCAGAGATGGCGATTTCCCAGGCCACCATTGGACAAGCTTGCAGGGAAGGATGAAGTGCAAAGACCCAGCGTTGTTTGTATCCCTTCTGCTAAACCTAAGGATAGTCATCCCCTTAGAGGTCACCCCTTGAGGTCTGAAATGGCTGGGTCCTGCTGCCTTCTCCTGCGAGGAAAGACTCTGCAAGAGGTCAGCAAGGGAATATCCCTCCCACTCTGTTTTTGGTCCACTCTGTTTTTGGTTCTGGCTCACAGTACCAGCTCAGTAAACAACCCTGAGTATAAATGATGAGCAAATTAGGATTAAATGAACTACGCTTTCATTTGCATTGAGCCACATGTACTGTGTAACAGTGTAATGATGTCCTAAAAGAAGGCAGTGCTCCCCTTCCAAAGGCACTGTCATACAAAGAAATGGTGCCAATCAGGTCTGTTTAACATCTCCCTTTTTCCCCCATTCCTTATGAGCCACAGGTGTAGAACCAGAACAGCTCCACCAAAATGCTTTGTGCAAGCAAATGTCTGTCAGTGAGACTCTCATGTCTTACTCTGTTATCACAATGTAGAAGTTCAGATCTTGCTTTTCCCTCCCTAAATAACTGTCCATCTTACGACAGTCATCTTCTCCAATCTAGACTGGCCATACAAAAGGAATGTGAGAAACCTGCCTCTGACATGGACATAGACATGAAGACATATTCCTATGGTTAACTGCGAGGCACTCGTTGACAATATTTGTGGTAGTAGAAGGTCCTGGAAGTGCTGGGCCATGTCATCCTCTGTGAAATCCATCCTCCCACAGTCCCATCGCTCGACTCTTACCCGTTTCAATGTCCTGTGCTCCCCACCTGAAAATCGGCAGGCTAGCAGGAAGGGCCGGGGCTGCACCAACCCTCCCTGCCACACACAACCTAGTCCACAGTGCAGAAACAAAGAGCCATGCAGGAAAAACACCAATTAATTCCACTTTCATGGAGACAGGGAGGGAAAGAAAGTGACAAAAACAATATTAGTAAGAATCGGGGATTATATGGAACCATCTTGGCAGAATGAGTGTTGGGAGTCTCATGCAATTTGCTGGGAAAGCAAGTGAGTGAGGAAGAAACATTGGTTAGTAAGGTACGGCACACAGACCTGGTAAGACAGATTTCAAGACAGACATTAAAACTGTGCACAGCTAGACAGCCCGTGAGCTACCTTGGTGTTGAGATGAGAAAATGAATGCAGCTGACACATGTTTCATTGAAATGTGCTTTCTGAATGATTTGGGATAAAAGGGTGTAGATTTTTAGATAATTTTTCCTTTTTAAAATGAGTTTTCAAAAATATTTTTTAAATTTACATTTTGTAGAATTTTAGTATTTTTCCATTTTAATTGAAGCCTTTTGATCAGGAAATTTTGCCACAAAAAAATTTGTTTACAAATTTCTCATGAAAAACTAGTCGGCATTTTTCAACCAGCCTTCAGGAGGGCTGTTCCTGCGTGAGCCATGCGGCGGGCGGAAAAGCTGGACCCTCGGGGTGGAAGGGGATGAGCAAACAGAAGCTGAGAGATGAGACTGCAGATTAGTTAGTTCCCGTCCTGCTGAGGATACAGCTCGGCTAGGCTGCTTCTCGCAGACGCCGGAGAAATCTGGCTTCCATGCGATACGGTCCCACGGGTGAAAGCTGGGCTGTGATCAGCCATTACAGCCCGACACAGCTCAGAAGGGTTTTGCTTACGTGTGGTTGCAAACGCCGTTCCAAGGATATCCAAACCTAACACCGATTCTTCTAGCAATAACTGAGCGCAATGCAAAGCTACAAAGACAAGTGGGGCCTCGCACACGCCTGGTGTGATCTGAAACGACGTCTGCAAATTCGTCTGACGGAAGCAGGAAACCGCCTGTGAACCCAGGCTGGGAAGCAGTGCTTTACACTCCTGAGCACTGTTGTAAAGACTCCATTTCGGCCCTGCTCCCACAACATTCATTAATTTCCAGCACATCTGACACCCCGGTTCAACCCTCATTCCCGCTGCCCTTCTTCATGAAACCTGCCTGAACTAGAGGAGACGCCCTGGCTACTGCAAAGAGGTCCACTGCTGTGTTCACGCTCTGGAGGATTTTGTCCCTGGGATGAAAAATGTGGATTAAAATCTCTCCAGAGCAGGGACACGCTGCTGCTCGCACTCACACACCTCGCAAGCACTCAGCGGCTGCCCCGATCCGCGCGCCAGCTGCCTTCCCTTCCTCCCGCCTCGCTGCCGGCCGCCTCGCACCCTCCCAGCCCTTGCCAGCGGGAGCAGACGCACAGGCATGCCCGCTCCCCTGCCTGCACGCAGGGGTGCGGTTACACGGTTCAGAGCTGGCTGCACACGCAGACACTCAGGGGCCGGCGAGGACATCTTCCCATGCAGGGACAGGGAGGTACACACGTGCACACAGAGCTGCACGCCGGGACTCACACCTCACAGCGACACACACGGGTACCCGCGCACAGACCTCACGCACGCCGGAGAGCTGCAGCTCCCACGGCTGTCAGGACACACACAGAAGCCAAGAGACATTATGGCAGGCACTCACTTGGATTTGTTCTCCTCATAGTGAGCACTGGTCTTAATGTATCTGGCCAGTTCTATCTGCATATCGCCGAATAAAGGAACCACCTGCAGCTGCTGGAAAAGAAAACAAAAGATGGTTGAAACACGGCTGAGAGAGAGCCCGTGGCCCAGCGCAACACAAGGGACTACGAAACGGCATCCTGCGCCTCTGAAGCTCTGGAAAGTGTCAGGCTGTTTAAAACAAGGTGCAAACCTGGACTCAGGGTCATTTCACACCTAGGAAGCGACCAAAAATGATCACCAAGGCTTTTTGTGCAGAGAAAACCACCACCTGCGAGTGCTCCGGAGCCCTGGACTCGCCGATACCAGGCTGGTTATTGCCAGAACGGTTCAGTGCTGTAACCGGCCAGAGGACAGGCTCTTTTTACACCAGCAAGAGAAAAGCGTATTCCTGAGCAGGGCTTATTGCCTCCCACCATAATCCTCCAAGAGAGCGGAGGAACGAAAAGCGAGCATGTTGGCAGCACGTTGCGGCAGGTCCCTTGAGAGAGGAGCCGAAAATGCTTTGCTGCCTGGGCTGCCAGAGGTGTGGCATCTTTCCCCAGGGACTCAGACGGTACCGTGGCATTGCGGCTGCAGGTGATGTGTCTTAAAACTTCTCCACGAAGAGAAAGACACAGGCAATGGCTGCCTGCAATATAACATCGCTTTGCTCGCCCTTTGCATCTGGACTGGAATAAATGCAAAGTGCACGGAACGCACCTCAAGCTCAGACAGGTCCCTGCTTCACTAAGCTTTCAGCTGCAAACAAAATTCAACTAGGAGCTACCAACAGGTCTTCAATAAAATTTGAAACTTCAAGTTCACCCAGCTACAAAGCCTTGCCCCAAAAATTCAGGGAAGATGGTGGCAAATTCCCTGTCCTATTATCACATGCTTCTTTTTTCAGGCTGGCTTGTATGGAGGATGTGCAACACTCTCATCAGGGATTCCCAGTGGCACTCTCTTAAAGCGTTTAAATGAAGGGGTAGTTCATTTTCACTACTCAAATTCCTGGTCAATCCACTAGAAATTTAATCAGAAGGCAATAAGCAGATGTAGTAAGAGGAGTAGTTGGCCTTTTCTTATTGAGATCTGATAGTCTGGAGTGGTACTTAACTGATTAGGTGAGACCACAGCAGATGTTGGAGAAGTGCAAATGAAAAAAAAGCTGGAAAGGAGAAAGTTATTCCATGCAGTGGATGCTATTTTACCTCATTCTCTGATGGCCTCCAGTACTTTGCAATGAACAGCAAATCTGATTGAATGAACCAAGATAACCAAACTCTAAGATTACACTGAGGACTTGATTTAAACTGAGATTCTGTTGAATTAGCAAAGCTGAACCAGGGAAAACTCTGAAGACTCTGAGGGATGGCATGATAAATCACCTTTGCAGAGCTGCAGTCCTCAGCAGTGTCCCCAGTGACTGGAGGGTATTCAACCACCTCATTATCACCCTGACCGTGAGGTTATGGTGTCTGTCTGCAGTTCCCTACGTGGGAGTTTGAGCTCTGCTCTCAGAGCTGTCTCCAAGAGATGATGCAAATTGGGGTAAATATGTCCCCACTCGGTCAGGATGCAGTGGCTAGTACACCAACCTTTCATGAAACCAGCTACCTGGGCTCGCCTGTCCCCTCCCCTGGCACAAGCCCAGCGCATTATCTATAAGCTGCAAGTTGGGGCCATAAGCAGGAAGGCACCCTGTACCCTATCACCACAACCCCCCTTGTCGTTCAGGCTCCTCAGCAGCTCTCTGGGTAAAACAGCAGGAAGAAGCCACTCTGCTGAAAGAGCGATGGGGAAGAAGCTCTCTGTGCCCCCCCAGAAATCCCATCCTCTCATTTTTACTGATGTGGAGCAAATGTTGGTAACAAAAACTGATCTTTCCATCTCAGGAGGACCGCTCAGGCTCAGTAGGAATGACAGAAAACTAATTGCTCCATCGGGGAAGTTATTCTGCTGTCCTCCTGCTAGGCTGTTATTGTTTGCTGCCAGTACGTTCGTCCCTCGCCAGATCCCACCATGCCTCCTAGCGCTGACCTGCCCCAAACCTGAGATGCCTCCTAGACGCCAGACACAGAAGCAGTGGAAAGGAGGTGCCATTTCCCCCCGGGAATGCCACGGGCGGTGCTGTGTGGGGCCAGCCCCCCTCTCCATCTGCCACTGGCGGCTTGCACACACACCAGATTTTGGGGGAAGCAGCAGAGTTATCTCGAACCTTTCTCGTGCTGAGCGGCCCTGGGGCAAGGCAGCCTGTCCTCCAGCTGTGGACCAGCCCAGGGCTGGGTTCAGCGGCACATGGGCAGGGGCAGAGGGAGGCTGCACGGCTGCTTCCCACCCTGTCACTGGGAGCATCCAGTCCTCACAGGCCTTCCCCCAAAACCCAGACCTCAGATAATACAAAAATGGTTCATCAAACCACCAGGTGAGCCCTTTGAGGAACTCGCTGAGCACCTCCAAGTTCCAGCCGACACAAGCTCCCCAAAAAGCTTTTTCTGTCCTACAGGGAACACCGTTATACACGAAATAGGACTGCCAGATCACACGCTGGCTGGCCAGCTGCGTTTCCATCAGCAAGAAAAAGGAGTGCAACCACCAACTGCACAGACCTCAGCAAACCAGCCAGGTTTGCCCCGGCCCAAAATGACGGTGCTCCTCAGGAGACTGCAAACCTGCCTCGGAAATGCACAACGAGATAGAAGCGCTGTCGGGCTGCG